GATGGCGTGGTCAAACCATCTGACGAAGTTAACCCAATGGAGTGTAATATTTCAGATGTACAAGGGGTGGATCACCAACAACATATTTTGAAATGGCTAAGGCGAGCGCTGAGGAACACGCCAAAGTAGTGCCATGTGCACCGAAGTCTGAAAAGTTCATTACGTACTTGATGTTTTCGTAAATGCATTTGGCTAGGTCCTGCTTTGCTGACATTGTTGGTTGTATTTTTTTATTATTAAGGGTAAAAAAAATGTGCAGGGTAAAAGGCAACTCCGCATATCATTGAAGTCAATTGTTGAGCTAGTTAACCGGTTCAACGAAGCACAAAAGCAGGCAGTCATTGACATTGGGTTTGCTGGCCTCCTGGGGATGAAGTGTACACGTATAGATCACGACTTGTGCGCATGGTTGGTATATAACTTCGATCCTGACAGTAGTTCATTGAATGTCCATGGTTGTCAAGTGAGGCTCACGTGTAAGGCAGTTAATGTTTTATTGGGAATACGGTGTGAAGGCGATGACGTGCAGTTGGCTGGGTCATTGGAAGCATATCCCAATATCTACGATGAGGTTGGAGTTGTTAACGGAGTCATTCCTTTGAACAAGTTGAGACTTTATCTGACCGAGACTGCTGGTGCGGAGGACGAGTTTCGGCGGAAATTTGCGCTGTACGTGTTGGGGGCCATGTTGTGTCCTACCACAATGACCGGGTTGAAGCCATCGTTCATTCATGCCGTGAAGGACGTGAATCGTATGCGAGCTTGTAATTGGGCAAAGTTGACACTGCAATTCCTTCACAACGGTGTTTGCAAGTATAAAGGTCATCGCGGTGCAACTGGATGTGTTTTCCTGCTAATGGTATGCCAATAACTCGATTGTTTTTTCCATACCCGCGTTCATATGTTTCATGCATTGTTCTGTCATGGTTCAACAAATTGGCCTTGATTGGGACATACAATATTACCTGCTTTGTGAGTACGACAAATAACACTCTTCCTGACCAAGTATGGTACTCGTAGAAATATATTTTCTGCGAGTACCGTCATGAATTTAAGAACAAAGAGTACAGGGCAAAAAGTATGACGGACCTCGATGGAGGAACCAATTTGCCTACGTTGCGAAGAGGGGAACATAATTGATTGATCTTCATCGATTTGGAATAATCAATCAGACACAGAATGACACAGAAAATATTATACACATTTGTAGGCAGAGTTAAAGAAGAATATACAGAAGAAACCTTGATAGGACCATTACCAAACCAAACATATTGATTCTGGGAAAGGTCTTTTGGGTTGTAGCCATTCATACATACAAACATGTACATAACTTTTTTTTCTTGGTTTCATCAATAAAGTCCTTGGTTTGCTGTACATTTTTTTTCCCAAAAAACATTGCATGATATGTGCCTATAAAGTTGTCAGCATTGTAAACAAAATTGGTATTCTATGTACGTTCTGCTGCAAAATTTAGAAGAATGAATGTCATTGTTACTGAATATAGTTGATTTTTGTGGGAAGAATAAATTAATTATGGTGTGCCCCTTAATGTCCACAGCTATTGTACCTTGATTGTGTTTGTCTGAGCTCAACAAGTACGTCGGCTACAACGCGGTCCACGCCTCAGCTTCATGATTGGGGTGATACCCAAATACGGGAGACACTGCGACGTATCAGAAGGAAGAAAATTTCCCAACAATTGCGGTAAGCACTCTAACCACTGTGCACATTTCACACCATCGACCCACTTGTCTTCAACATACAATGTCAGACTTTATTTATGCGTTTCTATGATTAGGTGGAGTTTGATTACAGTAACGACGAAAGCGACGCAGATGATACTGACATGGATGCATGCCATGTCGAGAACCAACAAAAAGAACAGTACGATCAAGTCCGTATGAGCAATTTAGAGTCCGACATTCGCGAACTGAAGGAAATGATGAGGCAAGTTCTCCACAACCAAACAGATTTAATGGACATGTTGCGATATTTCCAAGGCAAGCAAGTTGTTGACAATGACAAGGTAATCTATCCAATCATTACGCAAATTTGACACAGTTGAGCCACATCATTTGAAGATGATTTATAAGACTAAGTTAACGAATGTGTATGTATGATTAGGTGGAAGGAAATGATATGTGTATCATTAACCTCTCCTCCAATGTTGCTGAACTGAAGGAAATGCTGAAGCAACTGCTTCAACGTTTCAGTTTGGACTGCAACGAACCGTTCACTGAACAAACCAATTTAGGTGAACTGAAGCAAATGCTACACCACCTCATTGAAGGTATATTCTGTAGACCACAACCGGCAGGTGTGGACCAACAGGGTGTGGACCCTACTGTTGGAGTCAAGGCACATGATGATGGCGTGGTCAAACCATTTGACGAAGTTAACCCAGTGGAGTGTAATATTTCAGATGTACAAGGGGTGGATCACCAACAATAGAATTTGAAGGGAACCTTGGCAAGGGACAAAAGTCATTTCCATGATGGGCACAAGCTGAACATCGAAGAAGGTGGGGACAACCAGAAGAAGGGAGGCCTTCAGTCGGGGGAAACATATGAAACTGAGGGTTGGTTTGGCATAAACTAAATAATACAAAAAGTCAAAAAGTCACTATCCTATTTAAGTCACATCATCTTATTTAAATCACATCACCTCTCTAACACATCACATCAAACCCAACCCATATAAGCCAATAAGTCAAAAAGTGCACTTTTTAGAACATCCCAAACCAACCCTAAAGATAAATACAGTCCTGACCTTCAGTCAGTGGGCGTGAAGAACGTGGTGTGTGATGTGCATACTTCTCCTACTAAGCTTGGCCAACCATTGGGAGCAACTGGAATCGTTAGAGGAAGTGCAAAGGAAAGAGGAAGAGGAGAAGGAAAAGGAAAAGGAAAAAGAAAAATGCACGGAAGTGGAGTTCAAGCCACTGAGGTTGGGGATGTGCAATTGTGCATCGATAGAAAAACAAATAGTGGGGTTGACGACATCAGTTCACCTGTGGATGTTGATGGTGTGAATAAGGTGAACAAGGTACAAATACTGCCTTTAATGCCCCACAAGTTCTGAATACCCAATTCATGCCCACATCAATAATGTGAATCACTAATTTTACAAGCATCTATGTTGTATTGTACTAGTTGTCAAACAATTACATGTATGCAGCTATGACTGATGGCATATGTTTGTACACATTTGTAACAAACTCCGCACCAAACATCACAAGTTGGGAAAACTCTAAGGTTCACAGTTTATACATCATTTCACGTTATTTTTTATGACTACCGACCTTGCAATGTAAGCTTCAATTTTTTTTTTTTATGAAATGTGTAATGTTAGTTGGCTGTTTATTTTTGTAGGACTCGTTGAGGATATTGGATAGCGAAGGGTTGTTATCGGCAGAGGAACAAAAACTTCTCGACTATGTATTTGATGATAGCAAAAATGAAATGTATTGTTTCATTTAGTACTTGCAAATTTTAAATGACAGTCCACTGTGAAATAACTATCATTCTAAGAATCATTATTGCTTGTAGGGACATTGTTGTTTCCATGAATCTTCATGGACGGGCATGTGAATTTGGTACCCAACGTGACATGCGCACGCTCAAACCAGGGTTGTGGCTATCTGACACTGTAAGTGTTGGCTGCGCACATATGAATCTGCGTTTTTCAGTACCCCTGACTCAGAAACCTTTCTAATCAACTTACCTTGTGTCTTACATACAATGTTCCAGCCAATCAACTTGGTGGTGGTGCAATTGACTAATCGACAGAGGGATTTACACAATGACGGGAGGCACACTGATTGGTTCTTTCCCGTATATCTGTCGGTAAGTAAGTGTTTAAAGCTACGTTGTGTATTGTGTATGACATATTTTGACAAATGTTTTCGTCAATGACCTTTATGCATTACACATGCAGACTTTGATTCTAAATAAAGATATGCAACCTCTGCACCATGAACATATCGTCACATCATTTTTCGGACATGACAGATACACTGGTGCGATTGATGCATGCCAGAGGGTAATATCAATGTTCATCCCGTTATATTAAAACGAAAATATGAAAGCCATTACAAGTTTACATGGCCTCAAAACAAGGTCTGCCCTTGTGTTTGCGTGTAGATTTACATGCCTTTCAATTACAGAGGAGTGCATTGGTTGTGCGCTAAAATTGATATGGTGGACCGTGTAGCCTACCTATTTGACTCGTTCCCATCCAACCAACCGAACAAAAAGAGGCTAAATGCGGCAAAAATTTTGGTATGTCCTGGTGCATTTCTCAACACTACAACAAACTTGAACATCCTTTACATTAACCAACTTCAACCTTGTGGAACAGGTTCAAACTATGCACGACTTTCTGCAACTACACTTTGGAAATGTTTATGTTACAGACGTGCATAGCTTCCACCTCCGCATGTTAGATGAGAGGCCAGTACAACAACTGGACGAGTAATCCACAATCCCTCCCTCACATTAATATGTATGTTGCATGACTGACTTAACGAACCTACTGACATTGATGACAAATTTAATGTGAAATTATTTTTGTTGCACGTTTGACTGTGGGATGTTCGTCATCAAATTCATGTAGCAACCTGATTTAAGCCCCGATCCACACAAGGTACATTCTACCGCTTCATTTTCATTTGTCAATCAAATCCTTCCTTGTACGTCCAGCAATTTTAACTCATTTGTCTTATGATCTTTCTGTACAAAGTTTCATCCCTTTGTGTGTCATAAGTTGTTGGCTGACATTGTTATGGATGTCAATAATGCAAAGATCGCAGAGTACTAGGAGTGCCTTCATATGAGCAATGCCACAAGCTAGGCCAGTGATGGGAATAAGCTGCCAGTACGCCAGTAATTTGGGTGGCAACAGGACTTGACTAACTTTTTATTCTTTGATTTCAATATGGATGTTAATTATGGCTCCCCAATATTGTTTTTGCTAGACGATGTAAAGATGGACTAACTGCAAAGTACTATTTTGTTTACGCATGTTTCTTGTTCGAATGAATGCGACTGAAACAAATATATTTTACCGCTGTTTTTTTTACTCATATTTGGAGTAATGTACTTGCTGCCCAATTTGTCAGATAACTTTGATGTCGCAACTGTAATAAAAAAACAATTTGAAATTTTTCAAAATAAATAAAAACTAATATAATTACAAATTGAATTTATAATGAAATTTTGTTACTGGCTACTGTCTTAGTTGTATTTTTAATTTGTTACCGAAATGAATTTATAATTTAATTACAAAAAACAAAAAATTAATTTTCAGAAATGAAACCAACCACATTATGAATGAAAACTCAACTCTTTGTACGTAAGTTATATATCAGCCCATTAGCATATATGACTCCACCCAAAACAAAACATGCAACGTCTTACAGGAAAGGTTAAAAAAAAAAAACAAAACAACATATCTGCTGCATCATCAGCAGCGTCTTCTGAAGAGTTGTCCGTACTATCTAATTGACTATCCTCATCCATTGTCTTATCAGACTTTGCTTCGTCCGCCGCCAATTTCTCAACGTTCTGCTTTATAGCGCCGACTTGCCGCTCCAAACTTGACAACCGTGTGTCCACTTCATTCAGCCTTTAGTAGATATCTTGCAACTGCTGCAATACAGGAGCAACATGAGCTTCAACAATAGCTTCAATCTTTGTTCGAATCAGACATTTTGTAGGAATATGTGTATGGTTTATTTTACTTTTTACTTTTTTAAAGAAATGTACAGATTCATAATATTACACAACACAATGCTGTAAGTATTTGTAAGATATGGTACATGACTTGTATGTTTTCAGAAAATCTCATGCATTGTGACATACATTGTACTAATTTCTCAAACTAGCTGAATTCATCTTGCAGAAATTCGTTCCTTCTAGCATACACCAAGTCATCCGCTCAGTACCCCTGATCGTTCATTATTTGGCATTTCCAACACACATGCATTGTACCTTCCATCAGTAATATCCCATTGTCATTGATTTCCACACCCACAGTTTATCATACATTCACATTCGTCATTTGTATTTGTGCCCCCAACCCAACTTTTGGTCTACCCTAACCTAATTACATGTCTACTCATCCATAAAGCTTAGCAAAATTCCTCTTATCAGATACATATGCCTTTCCAACTACATCGAACCTATTAAATGAAATATTCAAAATAATTAATTTTCTTTTACTCAGTTTGGGTAGGTGTTGCCACCAAACAACAATAACTGTGTCCACATCTTTAAACCTACCACCAACGTATTAATGACTACGGGTTTAAGGTAATTTAACATTTACAACCAACCACAAAAAAAGTTTGCAACCAATGTTGTTTCCTTTGCATTTGGGTTTGTTTTTGCATCCATATGTTCTTCGTCAACCTGCGAAAACAAAGTCGGACTCAATCAACAACAGTCACACCTATGGATGCACACCACGGTAAATGCGGTCGTGGACAATCACTTGCAAGGGCTGACAGCTCCCAACCAAAGTCACCAGAATTGGATTATACATGTGGGTATATCGATTCCTTCGGTGATCGACGTTTCTTTGAAACAGGGTTCCCACTGTGGAGTTTTGAACCTCTACGGGATTACAATTGCACCCCATTACAAGATGCTAGCCTGGGGAAGTATTTTGGAATTCCAGTTTCACTGTTTGCCAAACGAGTTCAGTGTGAACACCACTGTCGATGTGTTTTTGTCAAGGTTACTAAAGCCCGATCGGTTGAAATGTAGCGGCAATTCCCTCATGTCAGCGAGTCCCAACTTAGGCATTGTTTACAAAGGGAGATTGATCAAATGACTGGTCGACTCATTAGGCACTCACGCATAGAGGACACAAAGGCAGAGTCAAAGATACATGGATCGAACCTAGCATATGTGATCAAGGCTATAATGGAGGATCCTGCACTGGTGTCGGACCTTGACCTTTCAGATTACTCTGACACCGAGGTTGTTGATTTGAGCGAGGATTAGGAGACCTCAACATGTGTACGACATAGTAAGCGTAGTGTTGTAAGATGCCATCGTGGTGCAAAAAAATACGACTTAGAAACTAACAAACCGTCAAACTCTGCTAACCATTTCAACGGTGCATGCGTTAATGTCTTCATCATTTTCGCTTTGTTGAAGGTATTTTTTTGGGTCACCGTCATCGACTGAAAGCTGTCTTATGATTTTTGTTGGTATGATGTAATGTCATTGACCGATATCAGAAGCTATCATTAACCTATGTTTTGTTGATTATTTCATGTTTTGTGAATCGTTGAATATGAACAATATGGTTTAAGTGTCAGAATCATTGAATGGAATCACAAGCTGTAATTGTAAAAAAAATTTGTGCACGACCGGCCAATGGTCTCGTACACTCTAACATCAATATGGGCACAAATGTTTTGTTTTTTCAAACACAACGGTTGTATGGAAGCATACCCCGTGGGGTCAACCTGTGCATTAGCAATTTTTCTCCCATTGTGCATTGTTATGAACTAATCAACTCCCCTCAAACAAAAAAATATACAATAGACCATTCAGAAACAGAGTATTGATATTCATTAATGAAGAAGTCAGCACAATAGTGAAGAAATGTACCACGCATTCTATGCCATACAAAATAAATTGCAAAATACACTAGTTTAAGATATGGGGAAGGGAATGGCTAGAAACTAGAGGACCCCATTCTGATTGAGCAGCTGCGAGCATAGCTTGGGCTTGAGCAGCTACAGAACCAAAGCATCAAAAACCAGATTTGCCAAATCTGCTTTAAACTTGCTAACAGATAATAGTTGAGGCCACAGATAAGTGACAAACAGATACTAGTTGACAGATAACAGATCTGCCAAATCTGTTCATTACAAACAAACCTGCAACAGCTAACAGAAGTTGTTCATTACAACCAAAATTCATGCACTCAGATAACAGAACCTGCAACAGATAACAGGCCACAGATAAGTGACAAAGCACCCACAAAATTTAGTCATCCACAAAGCATCCACAAAATTCAGCCACATAACATCCACAAAAATGAATCCACATAGCATCCACATAATTCATCCACAGATCTGCCAAATAGCATCCACAAAGCTCTAACAATGAGACCAATGTTTCCCAAAATTCATTTGATAATAAAATTATAAGTTACATCATAATAACTTATAAAATTCATTCCGTACATTCATTCCATAATAAAATTCATTCCACAAAGCTATTAAGTTTGTTACATAAGTTATATCATAATAAAATTCATTCCATAAACATTAGTTACATCATGAAGTACAATACAACCAAAACTGGTACAAACTTCCATTCAATTTCCTAAAATACAAAAAATTACAAAAGTTACATTATCAAGTAAAAAATGATAGAAAATATAATGAAATACACCATCGCTTTGATATTATTTCCTATCCTTTTAAGCCTTCGACCATGGTCATTTTGCAAGTCATCAAGCCTCGTCCTTACATCATTAAAGTCTTCTACTGTTATAGCATCACAAGCTCTAGTGTTGGAACGAATTGTGGACGTAACGTCTTCATCATCTTCAGCCACGAACTTAAAGTAATTGCAATGGGGAGTAGGAGTGGTACTCTACAATGCATGACAATCAGTTAGTTGAATACAACAAATATTAATGTGACTAGTAAAAGATTAAAATTTCCAATACATACTTACATATTTTGATGGGCAAACAAAGAACAAACGCCCTTCATTGCCATTCTTATTGGTTCTTACAATATGTATGGCAGCGGTTCTTCCACAATTACACATCCTCGGTTGTAATCTTATGTTGCTAATGTTAGAAGAAGAGGCCATTTTTTAAATCTGCATACATGAGAAATTTGTAGTGCTCTGCTATGCTTGTGTTTGATGGGGTTAATAGTAGTGCTATTTGAATTTGAGGGATAGAGTGTGTCTTTACTAAAAACATCTATTTGTTTAAACTGCCATGTTTAATAACATTTGAACAGAGGTTACACCGACTAAACTGTTAATAGCATTTGAACAAACATCGCAGTTCAATGTCAGTCATTTTCTTCAGTTTCAAACATAACATTTCTGATTAATTACACACATGTAACACACATAGCATTTTCAAACTGAACAAACATGGCAGTTTTACAAACATATCAGTTCAATGTCAATTCAATTATCGATCACACATGTTACACAACTATTATCAACAAATCATACTAAAGTGAAATGATT